GAATCTTTCCATACTTTCTTGAGTTTGGTCATGGAATTACGTGTTATACACAGTCTTCTCTTGATTTCTGCATCACATCCTCCTTTGTTTGATATGAAGGAGCCGAGGTATATATATTGATCTACAACTTCGTAACCTGCTATTTCTGTTGTATTCGTGGGTTTTCGATCGATATAATCATTAATTCTGTTTTTCTTTTATTTAACTTTAACCCATATCTGTCGCTGATCACCTCTAATTTGTGCATAATGGATTTTAATTCATTAGCTGAGGATGCGAGTATCATCTGCGTACCTTAATTTCGTTTTTTGTTTACCGCCTTCTAGTGATACCACCATTGTAGTCTTCCATAACTTCCCTCATTATAGATACCGTATATTAGTACCGGAGAATGTTACCTAGAGATGAGAAGAGGACCACAATGGTTCTGAAAAGGGCGTAGTGTAACAGACCAACAGCTACCTCAAAAATCGAATCTACGTCCCTAGCAACCAACTCACAATGAAACAAATATTACATCGATTTCTCTCGACTGAGAAAGTTTATATTTATATATTTCCTCTTGATAGTTTAGAAAAAGCTGAGTTTAAATTGTTGATTAAATATTTTTTATTGGTGGCATGGAAATTAAATTTTATGAAATAGATAGAGTGGTTATTGGGCTTCACGTTAAATATAACAGTTTTTTTCATAAACCTACCAATAATTTTGATTATTTTTGTAAGTGATAAAGTGCTGTTTTGTCAGTAGTCGGACAGTGCTTGCCAGTGTCCGGCCGGGTAGTTACCATAAGTCGGACACTTTGTGATTGGCTGATTCTGCACAGTCCCGTATTTAATATAGGTATGTATAATTTTAAAGCAACTTTAATCTTGGACATTATAATATACCAATTTGTTGTATGTTATCCATATGAAGAAATATATTTAAAAGATACCAACGCGGTTAATAAAACCATGCTTCCATTAGTAAAAATCCTAATCCTAGCTGAAAAAGCGTTTTCAATTTTTCTTCTTCTAGATACATTTACTATACTATTTTTTCAACTGTATTTTTTATTAGAAATTCACAAACAGCTAAGGTTTCAATGCAGATATTTTTTTTTAATTAAATTGGTTAAAACAAGTTCTGGTTCGATTTATTTGCAAATGTCGCTTATTTGTCTTTAATACAGTCCTGTATTTTTGACTTGGAACCCTATACTGACTATACTGACATGTTTTACGCGATTTTCCCTCTTCTCGGATAGTTTGGACTGTTTTTTCTAATGCGTCTTTATTGTATTGATGAAAACTCCCTTTTACTTTAGGCTTCATGATTGAAAATAACCAAAATCATATAAAAAATAGTCTGAACTCTGCAATATGACGTCGAAAGGGAGCTCCTGGCCGACCTCTCAAACATATTAAATTTAGCGTTGACCGGTAGTCAGACAACTTTTATTTCCTTTGATCTGCGTTTGTATTGAGTTTTTGCTGTCCGACCACTAAACACTAGCAAAAACTCATGTTTTATTATATTTCAAATGAAAAATACAGTAGATATTACATATCAATTATCAAGAAAAAGACTAAAACAAAAGACTCAAAACAAAATTATATACGAGTTTATCGGACACCTAAACTTAACATTAGACTATCAAAAAGTGTCCTTTTTGTTATTTGAAGCACAAACATATGGTCACTTTCCCATATTTTTAACAGTTTCAGGGTGACAATTTAGGCAAAGAAAATGTTATAGAACAAAGCGGAATAATTGGCTTAATTGGGTTTTTAATTATTTGAAGCAATACTATAACCCATATTTTTAACTTTTTTTTTTTATTTCCCAATAAATACGTTTTGTCCGACTACTGGCATATTCAATCTACCCAAACGATGTTTTTCAACTAAAATCGATCGTATGACATCGGCAACACCGCCATACGGCGAAGTGGTCAAAACAAAAACAAGAAGATGCCGTAGGCCGATGGAATGCGGTATGCAGCTGATCTGATCGAGTCAGCAGTGAGGAGATGACGGTGGTGGGGGAGGAGGGGAATATCTGGGGGGCCGCGAGTAAAACAGGGGGGAAAGGAGCACGGCCCAAACGAGAGAAGGAGAGGGACAGGGAGCGAGACGATGCAGTTGCATCTCGAACGCTGAGTTGCCAGATATGGAATGGAATTTACCAACGAGGAAAAAAGCAAAGCAGTAAAATATCGAAGCAGAGTTCTTATTTGTGTGTTGTTGTTTGTTTGTATATGGGATGCCAAAAGGGACATTGAGTCAGGTTGGCGGAGCTTATCTGTAACGGATCTGGATAAAGACGACGACTATTATCTCTTTGTTCATATCATTATATCGCGGTTTTTTTTAGTTGAAGAAATGTTAAAATATTTGGAGTAGTTATGTAAGGAATATTCCAATATTTTTTGATAGGTAGTAAAATTTATAGCAATATTTTGTCACTATAAACGTCCGAAAAAATCAGAGTTGGCAAAAATCATGATTGTTTTAAAAAAATCCAAAAAATTAGATTTTTTTAAATTTAAATCGGATTTTTTTTATTTAAATCACATTTTTTATTTGAATAGAAAATATTATTTAAATCGGATTTCCAAATAATTAGGACTTATTTCCAATTAAAGTCCTATCCTAAATGGGTAAATTTTCCTAACTCTACCCGATATAGATAAGGTTAGCAATTCTACGGCGCGTGTCATTTTTCCACATCGGTCACCAATATATTCCCCAAAAAAAGTCACTCGCTTCGATCAAAAAGGATTTTTTTTCAAACGACTACAACAAATTAGAAAAAGAAAATAAAGTCATTCTACTCTGGGTGCCTGCTCACCAAGAGATAGAAAATAATGAAAAAGCAAATGATTTAGCTAGAAAAGGAGCGAACACTCCACTAACTGGACCAGAACCGTTCCAAGCGGGAACCAACTGAAAGCGGAACTGAATAATCTGGAAGACTCCATCCGTAACATGGAATGGGTGTCCTCCAACGATCTAAGATACTAGAAAAAATTGCTCAGAACTTACGACCGAGAAGAATCAAATATTTTTCTTGATTTAAGTAAAAACAATCTTCGGATTGTTACGGGGTTTCTAACAGGACACTGTCTCCTCAACGAACAACTCAGTAGGCTGAAGCTGAGAAACAACGGCGAATGCAGGTTCTGTGGGGAAAATGGGGAAACACCAAAATACTTTATCACTGAGTGAGCCGAGACGACGACCATGAACTTAGGTACGGCTGATGTCGAGGATGGAGAGCTGGCCTCTGTGGAGCCGTCTCAGATACTGGCTTTTGTTAAAGCCCTGAGACTGTATGATGAGTTTTAACTTGTTATAACTCAAGAAAGGGGAAAACACAATAGATCTGTAAGGTCGCGATGATTAACTCCCCTCCTAAACATTCTACATTCTACAAACGTTACAAAAGTATTAATTTTTGTCATTTTAACACCTATGCATAAAAGTAAAGCACTTTACGCCTAAGCACAAAAGTACAAAAATATATTATTACTAGTTGAAGCCTGGCGCATACGCCACGACCGACATCAGGAAAAAAAATACTTTTTATTTTTTGTTTAATTAAATGAAAAACCAAAAATACGACCACGGCAGTTTTTAGAAGAGCCAATTAGCTATCTTTTAGTAAAAAAAGCAACTTTCTAGAGCAAGTCGGTACTTCAGTAGAGACGACACAGATAAACATTAGCATTTTATATATGTAGATACTGATATTAAGTATCAAATTCAACGTGTGTACAAATTGTTGCTCAATATACAGGGTAAGTTTTAAATAAGTGCAAATATTTTTAAGGGTAGTATATTTCAAACCGAGAAACACGATTATGAGGTTTTTTTCGCGAAAAGAAAAATTTTAAAATTTGGAAATTTTTGTTAAAATTTTTGGATTTTTTTTTAGTTCTTAGTTAAAAAACATAATTTGTTATAATATGGCAACATATGTTGTAGATTAAATCTACAAGAAAGAAAATCCGGAAAAGATTCAGTTGTTCTCAAAATTTTAACATTTTTTTTTTAATTTTCAATATAAAGTATATAACTCGGTTATTTTGGATTTATTTGAAAAACGGTAAAGAGAAAATATGTTTCTTTTATCGAGATCTACCAGCCCTGAAAATATTTGCACATATTTAAGACTCACCCTGTATAATTACTTACAAGGTGTTGTTGGAAACAGCCTTAAGTCGAGAATGAAATTAGTATTATCTAATGTCAAAGTGTAAAGGACTTACTGCAGATCGAAAGGTCGGTAGAAATTTGGAAAGAACTAGAAGATAAATTGGAGAAGGCAGAAGTTATTAGTTTTAAGTTTTTTTTAAGTCCTGATTCCAGAGTTCATTTGTCCGGAATTTTCAAAAACTTGTATGAAAACCCTAGTATTTCTACTTTCAAATTATCTCACGTGTGGCAGACTGATTCTTTACCTTTACCAAAATAGATGTCGTGTAATTACATCAATATGCAAACACTTGGAAAGTACCAAAATACTCGCTCAACGCCTACTACTAATTAAGAAATCATCAAAAGCATTCCTCTTAATGTCGGCGCAGTTGTACCAACAATTTCCTAAGCATCGACTCATTTGAATATCTACAGTACAATTTGCAACACGTTTAACCGCATAGCGCGAATAACTACACTACCATTTTATGGTCTAATTTTACTATAAAATTCCGCAGATTCTTTCAACTATGTAATTAGCGGTGTACGTTGCAAATTAACGATATTAATATCTTCAGAGGGTAGTAGATCTTCTTTTCATTAAAGAGGCGCTAATCATAGGCAGTACTTTCGGTATTTTAATTGAAAATGTCACACCAATACTTTAATCTCCAATTAAAAATTTCAACCGAAAAGAAAATATTTGAGCTTCCTATGAACATACTTTATATTGAACATACTTAATATTCTCTGGGCAAAGAATTATTTCGGCAATTAACGGCATTAGCTTTAAATGACACATTCTTTTTATTTCAGATTCAGTAGCGGATAGAACAAACACGTCATCAGTAAATCGACAAGAACAAGGTAAGATAAAGAAATTATCCAGTTTTATTGTTAATTTAGAAGATTTAAAACTCTGGTTATTTCCGGGGTAGAGATACTGATTCACTAATAAAACCAAATGAATAAAAACGGCTTTTTTAAATTTAGGCTTTTTCTAGTTGGTTTCTTTGTGGGCAACGCGGGCTTCCAACCACTAGGCTGTTTGGATCACACATGTACATTTTTATGCTCATTAAGATGCTCGTTTAGAGTGAAATTTGCCTCCAATATACGACTCACCGCATTCATAAGGTAGAAGATGCACTCTTTCTTTTGTTTTCATATTCCCAGCTTTGTTCCAGATTTAAAGAAAAAAGTTTTTATATTGATTTCCTCTTTGGCTATTTGCTTGATCTTTTCTGATGTTCTCTTTACATATGGTATCGTCTAAAAGGAGAAAGAGCATCTTCCTCAAGCTGGCGCACGAATGTCTCTGCTTTCAAAAAATTTACTCTGCTTTATATAAATATCCGAATTTGTCCTTTTTAACTAACATCACATCATAGTAAACTACCACATCTTTGTGGGTTACCAAAAACATATAAAAAAGATCTACCACTAAACTCTATTGCTAGTGCGAAGGGATTCAGCAACTAGCAGTAGATTTCTCCTTCAATCTGTCCAAGCATTAATAGGGAAACATATAGAAGATGCACTCTTTCTTTTGTTTTGATATTCCCAGCTTTGTTCCAAATTTAAAGAAAAAAGTTTTTATATTGATTTCCTCTTTGGCCATTTGCTTGATCTTTTCTGATGTTCTCTTTACATATGGTATCGTCAAAAGGAGAAAGAGCATCTTCCTCAAGCTGGCGCACCAATGTCTCTGCTTTCAAAAAATCTACTCTGCTTTATATAAAAATACGAATTTGTCCTTTTTAACTAACATCACATCATAGTAAACTACCACATCTTTGTGGGTTACCAGAAACATATAAAAAAGATCTACCACTAAACTCTATTGCTAGTGCTAAGGGATTCAGCAACTAGCAGTAGATTTCTCCTTCAATCTATCCAAGCATTAATAGGGAAACATCTTCGTTTGTTAAAAATTCAAAATACACACACCGGAAAAGTCTAGGGATATTACAATTTTATCCAGCCATCGTCAGTATTTTTATTATTTGCATTTCTAATATAATAAAATTAAAATAAACAAATAGTTTACAGGACGTATTGAAAATAAAAATGCGAAATTTACCGAATTTTTCAAATTTACCTTGATTTTTATTGAAATTAAAAGAATACACACATTTTTTTTATTCTAAACTGTGAATTAAAAGAAAAAAAGATAAAACCATTTTTACTTAATAAAGGGTATAGCCTCCTCTACTGTTCATTACAGCCCTACATCGTCTCTCCATGCTCCTGATCAGGTTGTCGATCTCTTCTTGAGGTACAGCTTTCGACGCTGCATTCACGGCCCGAACCAGATCCCTACGAGTTTCACGAGGCATACCCATTCTCAAAATTCTTCTTTGGACCGCGTCCCATACGTGCTCGATGGGGTTGAGGTCAGGAGATTGTGCCGGCCAGGGTAAGATGTTTAATTCATGAGCATTGATAAACTCACTTACCACTCTGGATGTCATGCATGAGAATGAAGTTTCTCCCAAAATCATTGGCATATGGTAACACGACAGGCTCAAGAATTAAATCACGATATGTGATTCCTGTTAGAAACCTTTCAAGAAAAACGAGATCGGTTTTTCGGCCTAACTGGACTCCTCCCCAGACCATAACTGTTCCACCTTGATAAGGATGCACTTCCTGAACATGATCCAACCGAATAAGATTTCCCTGTTCTCTCCATACCCTACCCCGAATAAGAATTCCAAAGCGTGACTCATCCGTGAAGAGAACATTGGCCCATTGTTCATTCGACCACTGAACATGATCAGCCCACAAATATCGTACCTCTAGATTTCCTCTCGTTAAGGGTTGATCTCTCCAGGGGCGTCTGTTTCTTAAGTTGACCTCACTTAGTCTATTGCGAATAGTGTCAGGATTAACGGTTACATTATGTGTTTCCTGGAGAATTAAACTAAGCTCTGGTGCTGTAAGAGACGGTCGGCGTCGAGCATTTAATTGTAAAAAATGATCTTGCTGAGGGGTAGTAATGCCATGTCGCCCTGTGTGCCTTTCAGCAACATCACCACTTTCACGGTAGCGTGCACTTAATCGCGATATTACACTTTGCGTTGTATTTAATGCTCTAGCTACGCCGATTTGGCGCATTCCAGCTTCGAGCATACCCATGACCCTGAGCATTTCGTCTCTGTTAAGATGTCTACGCTCCATAATGTCGTTTAATACTAAACAGAGTTATTTGAATGAATTCTGGCCAGTTATCATAAAAACATAGCCAGTACAGGTTAAATTCGAACAATTGATGCTAGGTGCTTTTAATATTTTTGACAAAAAATGCACAAACACTTCTGCAAATATCCCAAATTTAGAAATAACTAGTGTGACTACTTCGTTTCAATCGAAGTAGAAAGAATCGGCCTACAAATATGTGGTTGTTTATTCAAAACATTTATTTTTAACTTTAATAAAATGATATCCCTAGATTTTTCCGGTGTGTGTATTTTGTAGATATACTTAAGAACAGAGAGTTAAGTCCTTCAGACAAGTTTGTTAGTTTTGACGTGAAAAATCTGAATTACCTTTATATAAATTGTCTATATATAAATTGTATATACTTTCTATGATTGGTTAAGTTGATGGAGATATAATTATTCGAATAATTTAATCACTAACCAATAGATTTTTTCTTTATTTATTTAAAGCTAGTTAATACCGTAGAGCTTTAAAAGTACTACATTTGCAAGATGAAGCAGAAATATTATTCAAAACGAAAACACTCGTTGAATATAATTTTGCATAAAAAGGGAATTACAAAATACGGCGAAGCCATATTCATAAAGCGGACGTCAGAACATTTAGATTTGTATCAATATTCTACGAAAAAGCTAATGCAAGTGACCCCTACGTTATAGTACTTTGGTATGCACTTTTAGTATATACACAGCGCCACAGACATTGTAAGAAAATAACGAACATCTTGCGTTTTCAAAAATAAAATTTGTGATGAAGCATTAAAATAGATTAATCATTAATTTAGTTGAATGCTTTTATTTAGGGTCATAGAGAAATATTTTCTCACAGTAATACTTGATCAATTATAAGTTGGAATTTTACTCCTTTTACTATTTAGGACAATAAAATGTAGTAAGTAACGTATCCTATTTTGTATGAAGAAGAAAGTTTTATTTGTATTTATTGATGAGATTACTATACCACCATTACTCGCTTTTCTGTCACTGAAAAGCCCCATACGTGATGTTATCTCTCTTCCGCACTCCGGATATTAAAAAACCTCATTGCTTTGTTGCCTCTTTACTTTTTGGTTGTCGAGTTTCCAATTCTTCTCCATTGCGTTCTATTGTGCGCCGCTTCGTTCCATTCATTCTGCATGTTAATCCCCTTTAAGTTTTCGTGGAAAATATGCTCGTATCTTTTGAGTTGTCCACACGGTTTCCCCTTACCGTCTACAAGCTCACCGTAAAGCAGAGATTTTGGTAGGCGATTTTCTTGCATTCTGCATACGTGACCAGCCCAACTTAAGCGAGATTTTGAAATCATGACTTCAACGCTTTCGCAGCTAGCGTTTTCAAGGAATGAAACGTTTGAGACATAGTGGAACCATTTGATTATTAAGAGTTGTCTAAGGTGTCTCTGTGGCAAATTGTTTAAAACGTTCATGTGTCGGCGGTACGGCACCCAGGTTTCGCTTCCATATAACATGGTGGGGATTCTTATTGTTCGGTACACTGCAAGTTTCGTCGTTTTTGTGTTCAAGTCATGATTGTAGAAAACACTGTCTTTTAATTTCCAGAATGCTCTTGAGGCGCTAATAATCCTGTGCTGAATTTCAGAGTCGATATTGGCCTTTTACATTTTAACATTGAAAATGTTTCTGTTATCCTATATAAGGGAGCCCAAATCGAATTAAAATGCTACATTTGCAACACCATGACGTCATATATACAAGGGTATAGGAAATCTCGGCGCAGCGGCGGCAGTCGGCCAGCGCGCGCAAAAACCATTACATCGCTAATTGTTTATTGATATATCTTTATTAGTTTAAAAGCAAAAAATATGGGGTTTGCTTTGATACCTTGTCAAGATATAAGCGAAACTTTTAAATTGTTTCTTTTTTTCATTTAGGCCTTCGCTTTTCGTTAAATGTAAGTTATATTAAAAAAAATCTATTTTAAACCAAATTTTCGCATGATTGAAATGATTATTCATGTTTAAAGTTTTTTTTGGTCATAAGCGCTAATGGAAATGTTTTTTTGTAAATAATTATAAAAAATTACTTCCTACGAAGATTTTATTGTGTACTGGATCAAAAAATAAGTATTTGTTTTCTCTATACGATGGTATTAATATATCGATTTTTGATGATAGTGCCCTTTTACCCGGTCTAATTTTGTACTACTTTCGGAATAAGGGTCCCCATATCATGTACTGTACTTCCATCCCTTAAAAATTCAGCTTGTGACACCGAAGTGAGAGGTAACGTCAAAATAAGCTTTAATCTACCTATATCATAGGTAGGTGTAGGTACGTGTAGGTATATTCTACCTAGACAATAGCTGAACTAGCTGACAGTAGTAATTAATTTGTTATCCGATAAGTAGTTGTCATTATATAAGTTTAATCATCTTATACCTCCTATAACGGTAGGTTTTGGATTTTTCCTGATTGGGTTTGTTAAAAAAAAATATACTGGACATATAAATGTCTGTTACAGGTTAATTCGTTAAAGAAATATGTTACACACATATTATTTTAATAATAATATTATAATAGTAATGGCTATATTATGTTATAACACATACATATGTATTGAATGTACTTATTTTAACCAATGTATTGTTTTGTTTTTTTAATCTCACAAATAAGAAATGTTTTAT